AGCGGCAGGGAGAGGGAGAAGCAGGCTCCCGCCGAGCAGAGAGCCCGATGTAGGGCTCCATCCCAGGACCCTGGGACCATGACCCGAGCCGAAGGCAGACGCTTAACCAACTGAGCCACCCAGGCGCCCCTCAAAGCGTTTTTAAATTTAAGCAGTGCCTCAGGAACGTAACACAAACACACACCTAGCCTTTCAAACACCCCCTGGTTTGCACGCCCATATCCAATGTTACCCCGTTCATCCAGTTGCATCAACAGTCCCTAAAAGCCCACCCCCCAACCCAGCTGCCCCAGATTCTCTCAGAGTTGACATGGACATGCACACTCACATCCTCAGGTCACCTGACTGCGTGGGTGACATTAGCACAATTCCCCTCCCGTTCACTGTGAAAACCTCCTGCCAGGGACAGCTGATGGGAAGGCTGCTTTTGTGCAGGCGGCAGACTCTAGAATTTGCATTTGAAATTTTAAAAAATTATTGCAAATCAGAAAGTATGTGCATGTGTGATTTCTGGGGGCTAGGAAGGATGAGAAGGCTTGGCATCTTGAAAGCACATTAGCTGTATTCCTATAGTTTTCTGGATTTCCAGGGAGAGCCAGAGGTTGTCATTATGTGGAAGCTTAGCAGAGAAACAGAGGTGATTTTATGTTCTTGTGGAGTCTAGGGCTTGGGGGTGTTGGAAGCTCTGCAAAAACCCTGGTGTGAGCCCCTGGGGTACAGGGCCCTGATTTAATAAGGGCTGCCAGCATCAGGGGAAGAAATAGCAATTCTCCCGCTTCACATGGTACAACAAATCTGGCCTTCTAGATAAGAAAAGCCAGGGCTGAGAGGGGGTGGGGTGAAAGACGATGTCACCAGCTCCTCTCACGTTTCCTGCAAGAAATCCCTGCAGAGAAGAGACTCCTGGCTCAGTGAATCACTGGCTGTATAAGCCAAGAGAGGTGGAAAGCAGATTCCAGGAAACATGCAAGAGGAATCTTAGGCAAGTTTTCAGCTTTAGTGTCAAACTTTCAAGCCTCTCTACTCTTGTGGGAACTGGAGGGGAAAAACAAGAGCGAAGAATGATGAGAGAAATAGCAAGGAACCAGACAGAGCTCAGGTGAGAGCCTGTGTCTCTGGGCAATGTGGAATAACCACAGAGATGGCACCGACTTGGCAAATGATCTGGGCAGGTTCAGAGAGGGAGAAAAGCCCCCAGTGTTCCCGGGCCTGCAGTCTTTCCTAATGCAACAGGTATTTACACAGCATCCGCATCTGCCAGTCCCTGTGATGGGCGCTGGGCACCGGTAGTGAGTGAGGCACCGCAGTCCCTGGCCCTGCAGAACTTTCAGCCACCGGGCAAGCAGTCGCACGCGCTTATTACAAGTGATGACGAGGAAGAAGCTTCAGCAGCACGAGGCCACTGTGGGGATCCAACAGGGCTTCTTGACACCTCGGGTAGGATTGTCCAGACCCCAAAAAGGACAGGCTAAATTGCAGGTGGGGGCCTGGAATAGAGAGAGCGGGGCTGTTTGGAAGAAGTAAAAGGAGAAGAGTTTGGGGAACAGAGCCGCAAGAAAAGACTGGATGAATCCTTTCTCTTTGCCAATTTTGGGTAATTTGTTTGCTTACAAAATTTGGGGGGGGTGTGCATCTCCTCAGTGCCAGGCAACCTATTTGGCACTTTCTGTTTATTTGCAGAGCAATTCAATTCACCAGTGTTTCCTGAGCTCCCTGAGCAAATAGCTGGGCCCAGGCATGGAGTAGGCAGAGGGCACAGCAAAGGCAAAGGCCCAGAGGTGGGACCCCCCCCCCCAAAAGCATCTCAGGGAAAAGTCAGTCCCTTGGGTCTGGAGTACAGTAAGGGAGCTGAGGTCCAAACGGAGCTGATCTTCAGACTTCGTCGAATGAGGAGCAGGATGAGTTCTGGAGAGATCCGTGCCCTGAGAAGCCGAGGCTGGGTGGAGGAGGTCCCACCTCAGCACATTCTCTTCCATGTGACGTTGGAGATAATTAACCCCAGGACCCTAGCAGCTGCCACCGCCACCCTTCAGGAATTTGGGCCCTCCCTACATGACGTCTAGGCCACACTCCCGCCGCACAGCTCTGGGGGAGAAAGGAA